ATTGTTGTTGTATATCTATCGACTAGCCTGGTCCCGGTTTATATAATGCACCAGAGGCCTAGGATAACAAGAGTCATAGCCGAATACGCCGGTGGGGGAGGAGTCCCTGTCTTGATCTCCAAGTCTTGTTGATTCTTCCTTGTATGCGGCAGATGTCCGGACTGGCCCATGAGTATACGGCCATGGGGTCCTCGGCCCAATCCAACTGATCGGGAGACGACGCGTTGAGTACCCCCTAGTCCAGGACACCGTCACGGTGCTTTCACGGTGGTTTCATTGAGGACAAATACAACCCATTTAAAAAAATAACAGCCCATTCCATACGTTCAAATGGAAAGTTCAAAATTCAGAGCAAAGTAACAGGTCTGATCCACATATAGAGTACTAAACTTCCATGTTGACAACCATCATAGCCAAGTTAACTATCTACTCCCACTAATACTCTAGTAGCGTACAAGTACTAACTTACTCTTAGCTAACTAGACGATGTCGGCCGCCATCTATGGTACACGCTAAACGCCGGCACCGGCGTCCTGCGCCTCGCCTCGCACTTGCCAGAGGTGTGATAGGGCGCGTTGCTCGCGCGCGTTGGCCCTTTCCATGCCAGCGTGGTCCACCGAAGCTTCGGCTTCCAAGCGGGAAACCGACTTGACGAGCTGGTAGTAAAAATCAGTGTCACGAACGCGTGCGTGCCCGACAGCCTCCAGGGATATTTGCCGGGCGCCGGCCTCCACGTAGTCGGCACAGTTGCGGGTGCTCTGCTCGCGACTCAGAGCGTCGGTGCGATGCTGCTCCATGTCCCGCTGGCGGCGCAAATCGGCAATACGCTGCTCATCCGCCAGGCGGTCGCGCTCCAACAACTCCTGCTCCTCCGCCATGCGGTCGTGCTCCAACAACTCCTCGATCTGCGCATTGCCATCTAAAGACAGATAGAATGCCTTCTCCCTCCGTCTGCCTTCCGGTGAAAAACCGAACACTAGTTTCGGCGGTGACCGCCTCCGGTGTCGCCTACAGCGGACGGGCGGGGGCATGGCGGACGTGGCGAGCGACGTCGGGCCGGTGGGGGCTTATGAGGATATGGCGAGTTGGGTCACGGTGGCACCGGAGAAGGCCGGGAAACAGTACTTATAGGGGGAAGGTAGTGTGACGGTCATCGGAATTCGATGCATAATGGCTTAGCGCGCTAGCTTGCCATGGAAAACTAGGGAAACTGAAATTATGACTATGCCGTCCCGTCCCGTCTGGGTCGCACGCCGGTATGGCGGTCAAACGAGTGCACTCGAATCATCTCCCTCCTTGTCAATAATGATTCCACTGATTTAAAAAGCCCGCAACAATTAAAGCGTATCTTTTTTCGCATCAGTTAGCTGCCTTAATTACGGACGGCTGCATGCAGTCACTCAGAATCGCTCGTAGGCAGTACGCGAAGCAGCATGCAATGAGTCGCAGCAGAGGGCACGCATGCAGCCACTTAAATCGCTGGAATTAATTAGGTTTAAACTTCTGCATGCCGTTAATTATTGACATGCCTTGGTCTTGCTGCTTTGCTCACGGGACTAATAAACCCGGACAGAGGGAGTAACTTGGTTAGTGAGAGGTTTGAATTAAGCCCTGCAAACCGGAAAGGAGGTACTAGTAATGTCGGTTTTTTGTGTAGGATTATCCTATCCTTTCAGTACTGTAATGTCGGTGATAACGTGTCTTGTAACCGGATCTTTATTTTATGAATGAGAAATGTATTACCTCGCAAAAAAAGGAAAGGAGGTACTAGTACGTGCGTGATCCGCTATTTATTCGTGTAGGATCGACTAGGTCGTTTCTTGAATTGAGCCCTGCAAACCAGAAAGGAGGTAGTACGTGCGTGATCTGCTATTTATTCGTGTAGGATCGATAGTGTAGCTTGTCAGTTTCTTCAGAGGTAGGCATTTTTATCCGTGTAGGATCGATAGTGTAGCTTGTCAGTTTCTTCAGAGGTAGGCATTTTTATTCAAAAAACTGCCACTTCGCATCTTGCGTCGCAAATAAAACTGCCAGGAGCGCATTTTAGGCTAGCTAGTGATCGATCAATAACTTGTAAACACTGAGACAGAAATAAGTAACTGTTAATGCATCTCAATGATTCACAGATCATATACAATTATGTAGCTCCAAAAGCAAAGATCAGCCACTTCGGATCTTGCATCGCAACTAAAACTAACTAGTATGATTTCCATACATAAGATCAACATGTTAATGCATCTCAATGATTCACATATCATATACAAATATGTAGCTACAAAAGCAAAGATCTAGAAAAAACAATTGCTCTTCCTACAAACATGGATGCTTCTCTTGGGCAACATTCAGTACAGACTGAAAAGACAAATTTGTTTGTGAAGTCTACAATTCCTCTTGCAAACGTAAGTGGTTTCACCAACAGCTGGAACCATGAGAATGAACCACACATGATGGAGGAACATCCATTGCAATATGATTTGGTCTTCTCTCGATCACACCGCGAGACTATTTTCGGAATACAAACTTTAACTTAGGGAAAATGATTCCCATTGTATAATCAGACCGAAGCAATGAAGCACCTAGTGTTGGCCAGTAAATAGTACAGTACCACTTTTCTGCAGTCCATGAAGTGACTATCCAATCTTTGTGTCTATTTTCAAATGGCACTGCATGCAGTGACTATACTATTCTCTTGTGCAGTTCAACCAAAATTGCGGACACTTTGTTTGTTTGCCAAATAGCAACGGGCAGACATCTCTATCTACACAAATATCAAGCAGCTAGTAAACATATACCACACCATGTTCGCAGTGGTGGAGGAGGTGAAATCGATACAACTCAAATTGAGCATCCAATCATTGAATCCTGTCCTGCACCTCCAATGTAGGTCCACCCTGCCAATAAATTCACATGCAAACCACTAGTATTATTATCTAATGACAGTACAAAAAGAGTAGCAAGTTAGTAGCAAACCATGTACCTTCGTAATGAACAGCTCATAGTGCCACCAATTGGATATAAAGGTTTGGAAAAACATGCTCCTAATGTTGAACCAGTTGGACTTTTTGTGCAGTTCCACTAAAATCAAGCATCCCTGTTTGCATAGATATTGAAAGTGTGATTACTATAAAAGTGGCACTAGTTGAAGCATAGACTCACAAATATAAGAATTCCAATTTTTTAATGGGAAAAGATAGCAAGACTGTTTCTAACCACCTATTTGAAGGAATAAATAAAGCAACAGCGGCTGATGTCAGGAAGGCATACAAAGTTTTTTCTGAAAAACTGAGCCATTCCTGACCTTCCCTCTTCTTTTAAGCAAATTTTGTGTAGTTCTACTAAAATAAAATGCCATCACCGCCTTGACAATTCAGTGACACTGTACAAAAGGAAATGACTTAACATTACATCATGATGTCGGGTATGTAGTTGACAGGTTAGAGACAAACATACAGACCTCCTCCGATAACATAATGAACATTAATTTTAACAAAGGTGTGACTAGCTTTACCGGGATAATTTGAGTGAACTCTACACCCTCTGTTCCTTAATATAAGATGTTTTCGTGGTTCAATTTAAAGTACCCAAACGTCTAGTATTTAGAAAAACAGGTAGTAGTTTTCTTGAGCACATATCTTGGAAAGCTTGCCACACTTTATTTATGTCCATATGCTAACGCAACACCACTCGAATACTACAAATATACACTAATCCAGTGGCTAGTGCAACAGTAGAGTAGTTAGTTTATTACAGGGTATAGTACAATGGTTTTACTGAACAGATTTCAATAAACTCTAGCATTGGAAGGTTTCTATAAGAATTAACAATACAAAATGTAAAGGTAACAAGTTTCAGCATTGGTATACTAGCTGTGCATGAGCATTAAACCAAATACAGAAGTATGAAGGTAACTAGCATTATTAACTAATGACAGTATAAAAAAATTGCAAACCATGTACCTCCAAGGTAAATATCATTTCGAACTCAGGGGGACCTTAAAAATTGCTATCCCAATCTTGATAATCGATCAAACATAAAAACTTGATCGAACGAATCAAGAGAACAGCCGGAGGAGGAGGTGCCCACTCTTGACCTTTCCTCTTGTCTTCATAATTGTCTGTGCAGTTTAACCAAAATAAAATGACATGAGCGCCTTGGCATTTTGGTGACACTGTATAAAAAAATTAACTTATCTCATGAAAGTGAGGTATGTAATCTATAAGCATTAACAGTGCAAAAATCTGAAGGTAGTAACAAGTTTCATCGTTGGTATACTGGATGTGCAACAGCATTAGAATGCCTTAGCTGAAAAATCTTTAATACATCCACAATCAACAGCTAACCCTAAAATAATCCAGTGACATCAAATGGCATTGCTTAAATTTATCGGTGGCATTAGACTGAGAGCGGCATTAGTTAAATGTGGCATCACTTTAGCAGTAGCATTGCTTGACTTGACTGCTGGCGTTATACTAACAGCAAAAAACGTGGCTATAAGAGCATGGGAGGCCCATTCGGACAGTGGGCGCACCAGTACGATGTACCTCCACGGACGCAGAGTGGTGAGGTAGGTATGGTTGCCCAGAGCATGAAATATCCAGGCAGCATATGTGGATTACATCACATTTTAGTTCTCTTTAGCCACCTTTTTCCTATGTGAGGACAACAAACCGATCGACCTGGTCATTCTCTATTGTGTTGTCATGCCTTTCTACCCTTCTTCAACCAAGAGACACGAGACTCATTCCTTAGGTACTTATTTTCCCCTTTTCAACCTAGATCTGGGTTCGATACCTACTCTCTTGGACAGTGCAGTCTCCCTTACTTTCCTTATTCAACCCAAACATGGATTAGTCTGCATGAAGTAGGGTTTCCTTTAATAGTGCAAATTATGGTTTTCGTCTGCGTGGCCAGTAGAGCAGCGGATAGAAAATTGGGAAGATGGTGGAGTGGAAAAAGATCCACATGTAACGACGTGCCAGATGGGGCAATAGAACAAGGGTATGGTTCGAAAAGAGGTAGCATACCTGAGGGTCGGCGGGAAGTGGCTTCGCTCGTGGTCGTCGTCCTCCGCACACACTATGGCAACAGGGACAACTTTTGTAACTTCTTGGTATACCCATGGATTGGCTAGTTCCTATTTGGAAGGTTGTAATTTCTTAACCGCATCAGTTTCTACCCCTGCCAATAGTTTAGCACACACTTTGTTGCTACTATGGGGGCCCGAAGCACAAGGAGATTTTACTCGTTGGTGTCAATTAGGCGGTCTATGGACTTTTGTAGCTCTCCACGGGGCTTTTGCACTAATAGGTTTCATGTTACGCCAATTTGAACTTGCTCGGTCTGTTCAATTGCGGCCTTATAATGCAATCTCATTCTCTGGTCCAATTGTTGTTTTTGCTTTTGTATTCCTTTCGAATCTTGTTGGGAGATGCTTCGCTCCGAGTCCGACTGGGACGGAATGGGGGACCCCGGCCTACTCCTTTTTATAGATAGATGCGTCTGGAGACTGATAACGCTTGTGATCTCTTTCTTTTTCTATTGGTTAATGATGCTTTTTATTAGAGCCACTTTACAACCGGTTTAGCAACTTCTTCATGCCCCTACGAATGAACTATTTGGAGTTTGACAACTGGTTGACGCTGGTTGATACTCGAATGAATATATCGCCGGTAGATACTTGCTTTTCTAATGAGGTAGACACTTTTGCATGTTAAGGTTTCCACTTCAAACCATCCAGATTTACACTTCAATTTCAGCTTGGGAACGGAGGCCATCCCGCACGGGCGCTAGGTCTGAGAGGACGGCCTTGTCGTCAGCGTGTGACCTCGCTCGCCGACGACGAGTGCGTCAATGCTGCACGTCCTTTTCTTCCCCGACGGATCTGTGACCACCGGTGAGGAGGGAGAGAGAGGCCGTCTTTTTTAGATCTGGAGAGAGGGTGGTAGTGTGAGAAGCAAGTGGGCAGCCCTTGGCAAGAAAGCGTTGAAGCTCCAGCCTATATATCTTTTTTATACTACTAGTACTGGAGGTGGAGTAGTGGTAGAGTAGTTTATATTTTCTCTGCATACAGTACCAGTTAGTCGTGCTTCAAAACTGAACGGCATGCCATTAAAAAAATAAAGGTCGATAACTAATGCGGCAGCTCGGGCCAACGCGTCCAGATCGCATTTTGCACGAGAAATTACACACCATGTTTCATTGACATGTGGTCCTGTTCCAACATATCAGTGAGATGAGGGCGAGTAGTAGGAGTATTTCGAAACCGACGCGTAGGCCGGGGCGCCCCTTCGTTAACCGTGGCAAACTGGCAACCGTCCACTGAATCTTCGCCTTTCCCTCTCGATTTGGAACTGCTGTCGCACGCTCTTCCTCTCCCTCCTCCATTTTCCTTCAGCCCTTCACCCTTTCTTCTTCCATTGTTCGATCGTCTTCTCCATGGAGGGAACATGATGGAAATGACCCCGTTATTCTTGCCCCAATCTGAAAGATGACGTGGTGGAGGAACTCATTGATTGGTGCGACGTCATCACCTCGGCTAGCATGGTAGGTTCGTTCAAGCCCATTCTCGCTCAACTAATAACATCATTACAAGGAACCCAAGAGTCAAGGAGCGGTTTGATCTCCCCTATCTTCTTCGCCGTGAACCTGATGACTGGCGCCGTCACGACGGAGGCCTCGCCCTGTGCAAGTTGATGCCGCTTGATAATGATACGTATGATGTTAAGATGCCATCGCTTGAGGGCAAGGCTTGGGCAGGCACAAATGGAGATTGGGTTGTTTACATTGGGTCCAACTGCGAGTGGGAATTTGTGAATGTGTACACTCGTGACTGGGTTCCACTTCCAAAAATCTCAGCAGACTGCCCAGAGGTTGAGCACACCAGTATTGTACGCATGTACAAATACAATCACGGTGACTGTCTTCTATGGAAGATAGCAATTTCTCGAGTTCCCAACCGCTCTTGGAATTACAACAACTATGAAGTTGTTGCTATCTTTGATAAGTTTGTTGCCTTCCTTGCTGGTTTGACTTGATAGACATTGCTCAAAAATCAGTTTTTGTACACGGATGAGTACTGTGATGCAATTCAATACGAGGGCCTTGTGTTTGCTGCCACCACTCGTGGCACTTTTTTTGCATGGAATCGTTGTTTCGGTACGTTTATCTTCCACCGTAATTATAATTGTTTCATCCACATGCATGCGGGTTAGCAAGTTTCCCTTCACTAATTAACCTTCTTCTTGTGTTTCCAAGGTCCTGTGAACATTCCTCCACCTATACGTGAAGATTTTTATAACCAAGGGGGAGATGACGATGGTGATGATCACGAGCATGAGGACGAGGAGCGCCCATATACTATTTGGCGCCTGGCAACTAATTCCGATGGATGACCTCTTCTCATGTGTATATAGCCCACTGATGATGTTACTGCTAAGAAAGCAGGTGCAGTCTCCCATGGTCGCACTCTCCGGACCTATTCCAACACCCGTTGCATGGTATTCGGGATGGATACTAGTGTGCTAGTGCCAACTCCTTCTCCCAGGTACAGAATTGATAGTCTTGGAGAAAACTCGCTCTTCCCTGGACAAAACTATCCAATGATGGTGAAAGGCGATCCAACTGCTGTTGACACAACGTTACTATCATTTATGAGAAGCAACTGTGTCTATACCTCGGACATTTGGGTGGTTCCCTACCCTGGTACTGATATAGTAGGCTGCTTCAGCCTGGATGATCAGTCCCGTGTTGGTCTCCAGATCGACAATGGAAGGCCCGTCCCAGAGAATCACTTGTGGTTCAAAGCAAGCATTTCCAACACCGAGGAATGGTTGAGTTGAAGTTCATTTCATTGCTTGTTATTTGTTGTGTGGTGAAAACTTTAGTATTTATAATGTATCCTCATTGTCGATGTGGGTTGATGACCTGTCGTATGTAATAAAATGATATGCCTGTGATAAACTTACTAAATTTATGAATGGCTTTCGAGTCGCTTTTGTGAGTGAGTTGTGCGACCAGGCAAAAAAATATTTTCCGAATACATAATTGTACGTGCATTGCAACAGGTTATCGGATGAGGCCAATCAACAATAGTAGTACACTATTTGTACTAGCTTCACATGCTTCGCGCGTCATGCGGGTGTTTTTACTGTAGCCATATTGTACGTAACTAGCACCTCGAATCCTTGATACTAGTAGTACTATATAGTACGTAGTAAGGGTAGTAGGGTGGCATGGGCCAGAACAAGCATTCACGTCCAGGAGTACGGCACACGCCACCAGCACGACTTCCATCTGACACCATATTTCTTGGAGTCCGTGCTAGAGCAATCTCTTCAACCTCATTGTTTCTCTAACTCAGCCATCACGCGGCGGGCGAGGTGGGGGTTTGTCGATAGTCGGTTTCCTTAACTGTGGTCCCACTTGTAAGGCCAACTGCAACGCACGACCCCAAAAGGACCACCGTTTTGCACGAACTCCAACGATATTTTTTACTAGAAAAGCAAGACCAAAGAAAACAAGAACCACAAGAATACATTTTACCACTCCTGTAAGTTGGATTAGTGCCTTCTCGATGCATTCATTGTTGATCTGTGGAGGCTCGATCTTGCGTGCTTCTTTCTTCCTCAAGTGTAAAGAAGTAGACGTTGCTTCCTCGCATCTAGTCTCATGTCTAGCCTCTATTCTAGTACTCCCTCCGGTCCATTTTTCTCTATGTCTAAGCAGCAACACGCATAACAAGTAGGAGTATCAACAAGTGCACTAATCTCATCTATAGCCTCTGTGCTAGCTAAAAGTGATAGAACATCTACTAAATTGCGCTCTATCAACATATGGATGTACTCTTCTTCCCAATACAAAAACTTGCATCCATTCTACTCCCTCCGTTGCACAATACATGCCTTCTATTTGTCAAAATATATATGTATCTAGACATGTTTTAGTATATAGGTACATCCATTTTTGGACAAATGGAAGTCAAGTATTTTGGAACGGAGGGAGTACACAATAAAAATTCTAAGTTAGCACAACTAGTCTAATCCGAGAGCACAACCGAAGATTTGGTCGGGTTCTTCCTCCTTTTGGCGACACGTGGGACATCCAGCATCCAGGTCGTGTCATGAAAGAAAATAGAGTGGTAGTTGAAGCCACAAGATGTGCATCTTGGGTTAAACTGTAAATATAATCTTACTACTCTTGAGTAACTCCAAAAGTGGCCACCGAAGATCTTTCTTCGATTTGTTTTTCATCACCAGCACGTCGAGGTGAAAGATGTGCAGGTTCAGTGGGTCCGCTTGCGTTTTCACAGACATGTGGGACCGCATGTGAGCAAATAGACAATGGGCTCCGCGCGTCCGTTGGCTGGCTGAGAAGAGAGATAGAGGAGGGCTGCGCACGGACTGCAGGAAATTTATTCTACGTACCTCGATATAGGCTCGATATAGTGGGGTGGCATGGGCCATAACTAGCATTCACGTCTAGCAGTACGGCACACACAACCCACATGAGTCCCATCCGACACCAATTTTCTTGGAGTCCATGCTACAGTCATCTCTTCTCCCTCCTATTTTCTCAGCCATCGCGTGGTGGGCGGGGTGGGGGTTTGCCAATAGTCGGTTAGCTCAACTGCGGTCCCACTTGTAAGTGAAAATGCAACACCGCATGCATTCCCACTTGAGCGGCGTGCCGGACAAACCGTGTGGCGGTGCGACGCGAACTCGGCAGGATTTTCCTTTTGAACTTGTAACTTGTAAAATTTGGTTCTGCTCCATGGCGCGATCGATAGATAGAAAATAACGATTTTTCCTAGAGTAATGAGAAGTTTGGTTCTGGCGCCGTTCATGCATGGAGTACGTACGAAAATTATGAAGTTGATGCGAAAGGTAAGATAATTACTGTAGTATCATATACTACTACATGGATTTGACAGAAAGATAAAAATACATACGGATCCATCATCGACATCCTCACACCCTAGTGCGTCGGGTCACCAACCGACGTGTGAGGAGCAGCGGCGTTGGCGGCGAGCTCAACGTGCTTCTGAACAGTGTCGTCCAAGGTTGCCCTGCGGTACAAGAAGGCCAGCGTCCTATCGTCCTCCTCTTGCATGTAGTAGTCCTTGTGGATGATTTGCGCATAGACATGGGTGATTTTGTCAATGGTGTCTTGCTGCGCCAGGCGCTACGCGGCGAGCGCGACCTCGAGGTGGACATTCTCTGGTGCGATGGCGGGCAGTCGCAGGGCCACCAGTGCGTCGAAGAGGTTGTCACCATAGTGGCCGTTGAGGGTGGCGGGCATCGCAGAGCCTGGGCGCGACGGCTGGAGGCTTACATCAAAGTCGTCCGCGAGCTTCTTGATGACGCTGAACTTGTCGAGGAAACCGACGAGGACCTCGTCGAACAAGGAGACGAAGCTGTCATCCAAGCGGCCACTCTCCCTGGCGGCCTCAAGCAATACTACCTGGAGACGTTCCTTGTTGCCAGGCCGCAAG